CTTCATGCTCTGAGCGACCGGGCAGCTGCCCCAGCACACCTATCACTGATGATCCACAGAGTGTCCGAGGCCAGTGGATTTAGGGGGGAAGTGGCCCTCTGAGTACAAAACTGGGAAACTTGTTAGGTTTGCTAGAAATAAATAAGCCACTAGTAATAAAACACAAACCAACCCCTCCATACCTTGACAACAGTTAGGTAGCTAGTGTGCTGAGACCACTGTCTAACATGCTGATCTGTATTATCTCAATGTCTCCTTGTGCTTCCCCACCTGTTGTCTCTTGTCTTACACTTCTATTGTAAGCTCCTTGGGGCAGGGGCCCTTTTTTTTGTTCTGTGTTTGTACAGCACAATGAGGTCCTGGTCAAGGACTGGGACTCCGGGGTAACACACACAAATATAGCAACAACAAATCACACATACAAAAATCTTATAGAAACTAAATTTTATATATGATAAAATAATGACTGACTACATCTTTTTTGTTCCTCTCTCTTCTCTCCCTATTCTCCATCTTCAATGCATCTTTCTTTCAAGTCTTTTTCACATTCTGGATTTTCCCCACCCACGTTTCTCTATCGTTTGGCATCATTTGTTCGTGTTTCAGTTCAGCTTTTCCCCTCTCAATGCCCCGATATAGCAAAACACTTAGGTAGGTGCTTAAACGTTAAGCATATGAGCAATTCCACTGACTTTCAACAGGAAGACTCAGGCTTGGTCTACACTAACCCCCCAAATCGAACTAAGGTACGCAACTTCAGCTACGTGAATAACGTAGCTGAAGTTCGAAGTACCTTAGTTCGATCTTACCTCGGACCACACGCAGCAGGCAGGTTCCCCCGTTGACTCCGCGGTACTCCTCTCGTCTAGCTGGAGTACCGCAGTCGACGGCGAGCACTTCCTGGTTCGACTTATCGCGTCCAGACAAGACGCGATAAGTCGAACCCAGAAGTTCGATCGCTCGCCGCCGAACTACCGGGTAAGTGTAGACATACCCTCATATGCCTCAGGTTAAGCTGGGTCCCAACCTAACCACCCCTCTTATATTTCTTTTCTGATCTGACATGTCTCCCACTGTCTCCCTTTAATATTCTTCCTTTCTCTCACCTTCCTCCCCACCATTAGCCGTCTCCCCCTCCATTCCAGGCATAGAAATATAACCAGCAGCGAGCAGAGGTATGACCAAAACCAGACCAGCCAGCACTATGGGTTTGCCCCACCGACTATACGCTTATAGACTTCCTTTGGGGAAGTCTGCACCCGATTCGCGGCCCTGCCCTATTCCTTCGCCTGCCTCCTGGAAAGGGCAGCAAATCAGAGCAGCTGCATGTGCTGAGGAGCAGCTCAGTCTCCCAGTATTTGGAGGCTGGAGTGCTCCTGTCGCAATCAGTTTTCCCTCAGAGCCAGCTGGAGAACACAGGCAGGCTCCTAGGGGTGGGATACAAGGTCTTGGTCAGTAATAAGGGCTATGAAGTACATGAAAATATAGACAGCAGCCAGTAGAGACAAGATCTGAGGCCATGGTCTCCTCCTCAAAGCATTTTCCCATAGGCTACAGCACATTTGGTGGAAGTCTGTCCCTCCTCCCCTTGCCTGCCTTTGTGATGCAGTGAAACAGGCAGCCTGATTCAGCCAGAGTGGAACGTCCTGCAAAATCCAGGATGCTTGAGATGTCCAGCTTTACAGGCATGAGTTAGTGCAGTGCCCCTGGGAGGTGGGTCTGTATCACTACCCCAGCTGTAAGATGAAGAACGTGAGTTACAGGGAGGATATGTGCCTTGCCTAAGGCTAGACAGCAAGTCATTAGCAGAGCTGGGAATGGCACTCAGGAGTCCAGCCTCCCCACTCTATTTCCTTCGCCACGAGACAGCATTTTCCAGGTCCTCTGCATACTGCTCACAGACTCGCTTCCCAAGAGCTAGAAGGGCACGCCTGCAGCTCATTGACTAGGAAAGCAATTGAAACAAAACTCTCGTCACAGTCCTTTCCATCTCATAGAACAGACTTAATTGCTCCCATTACAGTTAGTAAATTGACCGATGGTACCACAAGCAACTTCCAAGGAAGAAGCTTCTAAATTATAACTGGGTCTGCCCAGAGCTTCCCATGCCCCAGTGGAGGTTTCTTTCGGGATTAACCCATTACTCACAACCGATGCAGCAGGGGAGAAATGGAAGGGCTAGTGCTGAGCAGTGGAGAGGATAATATTCCACTGGATCTCACAGTGGACATACCAGGTGCATTGCATGGTGCTGCATCTACCTCCCAGCTCACTGTGGTATATCGGGGGCCTTATCCAAGCAAAATCAATGGGAGTCTTTTCATTGACTTCAGTGGGCATTGGCTCACGTGCTGAATCAGCTACGAAGTGGGGAATGGAACAGAACAAGCCACTTGGACTGAGGAGTAGTGCCCATCCATCGACTCCCCTCACACAATTCTGCTGACACTGCCTTTACAGCCAGGGGGCCGAATTCTCTGCTGGCAGAAGTCGGTGCGATGCCACTGACTCAAATGGTGTTTTGCCCGCTAATGCCAGGGCTGAACATGGCCCATGGATGTCGCTGGGCTGCATCCCCGCAGCCTGAATCCCCGCCCACACTGCATGAGCGCCCCGAGCTGTGAATGGCCTGGCAAGAATACACACCCAGGAAAATGCTCATCAGGGGGCACCCGGCAATAGCCGCTCATCTTCCTGCAGCTGCTCAGCATTCCAGAACTGGAACTGAAATCCACAGGCACAGACACACCTTCAAATGCACGCTGGAGATAGCAAGAGCTGGACTGGTCGGCTCAGCCCAGGAGCATCCGCAGCACATGATCCTGTCTGCATAGGAAGAGCTCTTGCCTTCGGCAGGCTTTTGAATGAAAGCCCTCGAAAGCTTGCCTCCCTCTGCTGTCAGTTAACAGCCATTTTACCACGTTCAGCTGACAGGGAATCACAGGGAACCATCCCTCATTCCTATTAGGGGATCTTGGCCCTCTCAGCCGACAACGCAGGGTTGTTTCCTAAAGATGATGACTATTGTTTAAATGATGGTAACATTTAGAGGCCCAGCTGGGACCAGAGCCCCGATGTGCTGGGCACTGCGAACACACATAGTAAGAAAACAGTCCCTGCCCTGACGAGTGTATAGTCTAAACAGACAGGACAGAAGGACGCACTATTAATCCCATGTTACAGATAGGGAAGTAGGCACAGGGATTAAGCCACTTGCCCAGCGTCACACCAGAAGTCTGTGGCAGAATAAGGAACTGAACACAGATTTTCTTTGTCCCAGGTCAGCACCTCAAGCCACAGGACCATCCTTCCTCTCTCAACAGTGGTAACACACTTTTCTTATGAACATGGTCTCATGCCTCATAAACAAGTGTGACACGAATCATGAATTGTCTACAACAGCCCACGATAGCCCTGGAGTAAACAGACCCACCTCACGCTTGGAAGGACAGATTCCACATCTGAGCAGGGGGGTCTGGAAAACACTAGTACAAGTTCCCCGGGAACTGATCAATGCCTAGTGCTTGCCTGTATCTAAATAGGAAGGAAGAAAGCCCATGCTAGAGGAACCATGCAGTGTGTGCCCAGCATTTGCTAGATAAAAGTGATCCCCAGAACAAACCGATCGTACTCTCAGTTCACAGAGAAGTGCAGTCTAGCTTTGGACAGCTGCTGCTCAGGGGCACTCACCCAACTCTAGAAGCAGCCAAGCTATAGCAGAAATGAATATTGATTTGTCACAAGCAAGCAGGAGACCTGGAAGCTGTGGCCGTCAATTTCAGCATCAGAGTCTGGATTTGCAAGCGACATTTCTGCCTCTGCTTGTTTGGGTGGTGGAACTGTACGTGGCGGAGAGATGGCTGGGACAGCAGCAGAGGCTGTGTAATTTATTATAGGAACAGGAGCCTTGGGGATTGTTCCCTTGAGTCAAGCACACCCAGTCCACAAGCACAGCCCCTGCACCCTTAGTTCTAGCACCTCTGGTTTCTGATGTCATGGAGACATGACCTCCAGGGTTGTTCATGTTCGGAGGGACATGGAAACATACACGTGATGAGTTAGTTGTGCCCAAGGATACACTGAAAAATGTGGGGTGACCCTTGAACAGCAGGTATTTGGTGTCTCCTATATTGTATAACATGCTACTAAATGTACATCCATTTCTGCTCTAGCAGAGGAGATGCAGAATGTCCCCCATGGTGCAAACTTGCCCCTTTTGGCAAGTTTTGAAATAAAGAGTCTTTCTACAGTGCACAACCAGTGAAGGTCACCAGTGCATAACTTCAACCCCCTTCCCAGCTGGATAAAACTGCTCCTTCTCCAACTCAAAATGTACATTTCTTCATACTCTTCATTCAAACTAGATTCATTCAGGTTCCATCATGGGCAATTAGGAATGGGACAAGAGTGTGGTTCTGCATTTGCGAACTCCTTTGCCCATAGGTTTTATGGCAGGAGTGACCATGCGTTGAGAACCTACCCCAATTCTTTGAAAAATGAGATGACATTGCATTATATCATCATCGCTGCCTACCCCACACCGCCCTTCTCCCCAGCTGTAGGGTTGCATGAGCGCTCTGCCATACCAACACCTAGCTATCTGGTACCGTGAGCTTGGAGGTAATGTTGTAGCCATTCCAAGCACTAGGAGGCCCTAAGTTGCAGTGGGTCGCAATAATCACTCTGCCAACTGCTTCCAGCTATCATACTTCTCCCAGGGCTCTGAGACCCCCTGCCTCTGTGGCCCACTCCTCATAAATCATCCATCCACCCTGACCCTACTGACTGTTGCTGCCCTATCACCCTCCTATCAGGGAAGGAGAGCAGCGGGAGATGCACCCTCACATTTGACCCCTGACTGCTCAGCCAATTCGCCACAAGGAGGTTGAGATCTAGCTCCTCAGAGGTCTGTATAGCATGAACAACGACTAGTCCCATACGCATTTCACTTAACACACACACCTCCAAACATGCTGCAAGAGAAGGTGACAGACACTTACCCTGGAAATGCCAATGATTTGTTCATCTGGGAGCAAGCTGATGCGCACAAAGCACGACTCAAAGCTGACGTCCTCCTTCTCCAGGAGGTCCTTCCCTTGCAGCAGTGTGACATGCAGGGTGTTGGAGAACACATCGTATTCCATGTTGACTTCCACCTGGCCCACAGTGAAGTCTTGGCCAAAGTTATTCCCGATGGAGGAGATAGAGCTGAGGGAGTCAGTGGACACGGATTTCTTCAGTGGCCCGAATGGACCCAGATCTAGGTCTTTGCTCATCAACTCTAAGGTACCCAGCTCATTGATGTTCTCAAAGGTGTCATCCATCTTCAGGCTGGGCTTGCGGACAGGGGACGTCCTTTCTGCTGCCTTCCGGAAGTGTGAGGCTCCCCCTCTCTGCAGACATAGGAAAGGATAGAAGAGCTACTCAGGTTGGATTAACCCCTTCTCCTCTGAACTACTTCTTACTGCATGTGAAACGAAGCATATGGAGTTCTTAAGTGCTAAGGGGTCTAAATATGTAATGGCCATGGGATATGAAGGTAATTCCTTAACAAGAAGATCTACAGCATTAGGCTGTGGCACAGTCTCCCAGGACAAGTGCTTAGGTCATTTAAGAGAGACTTGATAACGCACTAGTTCATATATGCTATATATGATACGAAAGCCCCTTCTCATCTCTTTTTTCTCCCTTTCTCGTTTTGCTGCAGGGTAACTTTTCATTAGTCAACTAAGTGACATGAGTCAACTAAGTGACACCTTAGTTATTTGTAAATATAAATATTCATAACAAATCATTTTTGAAAATTTTCCATTTTGGAAGAAAAACAAAAAAAAAAGATGAAAAAGAGACAAAAAAATGAAAACTAATTAATTTTAAAAAAATTGCAATTTCTCCACAAATCCATCCCCCTTCTGGTTTTTTGACCACCGCTAATACATAACATGTACCACTGCCCCCTACTGGGTGAACTATACTTGCTCAAGTGTCTGATCATGTTACCCAGTAGCATTTAGCCCATAAATAAGAGATGGGGTAAAATTTCCTTAAGTGCCTAAGCAGCTTCGGAGCCTAAGTTCCATTTTCAAAGTGATTTAAGCATTAGAAGCCTAAATCCCATTGACTTTCAATGAGACTTTGGCTCCAAGTAACGTAGGTACTACTGAAAATGTTGTCAGTAGTATTATGACCTGTAGGTAACGAAGAGAGATTCTCATCTGAAATAGTGTGTACAGTTCTGACCACCTAGGTTCAAGAACGATGAATTCACACTGGAACAGGTGCAGAGAAAAGCTACTAAGATGATCAGGGGAATGGAGAGCCTATCTTAACGAGAGAGGACTAAAAAGAGCGTGGCTGAGAAGGGATATGACTGCTCTCTATGAATACGTCCAGAGGGTAAACTGCAAAGAGAGAGAAGAGCTATTTAAACTAAGGCCGATATTGGCACAAGAACACATGGGTATAAACTGGCCATGAATAAATGCAGGCTGGAAAGTAGAAGGTTTCTAACTATCAAAGGAGTGAGGTTCTGGGGCAGCCTCCCAATAGGAGTAGTAGGGGCAAACAACCTACCTGGTTTTATGATGAAACTTGATAAGTTCCTTAACAGGATTAGATGACAGGGTTGCCTGTAATCTCAGGGGACTGGACTTCAGGACTGGAAGGGACCTACCGGGTCATATGTTCCTTTAGCTCAGGTCTAGGACAAGTACCTTCCCAACCCTGCCTGTATGAAAGGCTGATGCAAAGCAATCATTTTGTTGCTCTGCCATGTAACTGTTCATTGTACCCCCATCGTGGTCCAGCCATCCCACCAATTCTCTTGCAGGTTTCCTGCTTCTAATAGATGTAAAGAACATTGTGTGATTTGTTTTTTTATCTATGGCTATAAGCTCTTCAAATTTCTTCATCGCTTTCCTAATTTCCTTCTTGCATTTTTCTGCTGTGGTTTATGCTGCTTTCTAGTGACTTCACTGGGATTGGAGTTCCATGTTCTGAAGAACGCCTGTTTAACTCAGAGGCCCTGATCCAAGTCCCATTGAAGTCCCATTTACTTCAGTGGAGCTGGATCAGCTCCACGTCTTCTTGCACCATGTCATCGGACAATCCTGTCATTTCTCTTGCCTTCCCGTGCCCTTGTTTGTTTCGGCCTATGCATATCTTCTCCTTTAGTTTACAAACACCCCATGTCTAGTGCCTTCTGTTTCTTCTCTCACTTAAGGGCCTGATCCAAAGCTCATTGAAGTTGAGGAATAGACGCTCATTGATTTCAGTGCGCTTTGGATCAAGCCCTAAGTTAAAGCCCCTGTATCATTCTGTTTGCTCTCAGCTCCCTTGAGTCTCTTCCATTTCTACAGTGTCCTCTTTGTAATAAGGTGACTAGAACTGTGGCTTCCAGTCTTTAACTCCCCATCCTGCTCAGACTCACAAGCAATAACCCAGCCTTGATTTTTCCTTTCTTTGTTGGTGTTAATAGCTACTCTGGTGGATTTAGAGTCTCTTTTGTGAATTTTCCCGTCCTCCTGACAGCAGCTTGTCCGACCGAGCTTCTATTTCCATACCTTGAGGACACTCCCTGTTTACGAGGCAATAGTTGCATCATGAGCTAAGTAAACTCCAAAGTAGGAGCCAGACCCAAAGCATATGCTCTCTCTTTGTCTATGGAAAACAATACCAAAGAATGCTGGTGACCAGAATGGGACAGTGCTACCATGTCAGTATAAAAACAACAAGGAGTCTGGTGGCACCTTAAAGACTAACAGATTTATTTGGGCATAAGCTTTCGTGGGTAAAAACCTCACTTCTTCGGATGCATCAACACAGACTAACACGGCTACCCACTGATACTTTACACCATGTCAGTATATTCTTCAGAAGGCTGATGTCCTAGTGACATGCAGCGAATTTCAAAGTCCACCTCTGCCTCCTGGCTGCTTGCGGGGCCGGCTCTAGGTTTTTTGCCACCCCAAGCTCCGAGAGCACAACTGCCCAAGCAAAAAAAAAAAAAAAAAAAGGGCCGGAATGCCACCCCTGGAATTGTGCCGTCCCAAGCACGTGCTTGCTTTGCTGGTGCCTAGAGCCGGTCCTGGCTGCTGGTAACAATTGAATGCTAGGCTTTAGACCCAATGGGCCAGATCCACAGCTGAGGTGAGTGGAGACATGCCAACTTATACCAGCAGAGGATCTGGCCCAGTATATTTAGCCAGGCTTGTTATCAAGGTTTATTTGTTTTTCCCCAAAACATGTATTCCTGACATTTAAATTACCCCCAAAATAATGCTTGATGTTTCTTCCTCTGTTTGAGACCTTGCTGAGGAAATCAAAGGTTTGAGCTGGTTACCTTCTCCATATTGATCTGTCTTTATAAGAGCTTGATGGCTGGTGGGAATGTTTAGCGACCTGGTCACACTGAACAGGAAGGACTTTTACCTTGTGTTTGATGTCCGAATACGTAGTCCCGTACTTTTGTTCCAGATATCGGTAGTTGTAGTTGGGAAATGGAGACGGTGTTGGATAATTCCCAGACTTCCATAGTTTCCACAGGTTTAGTGCAGCTATTCCCAGCAGAACAAGTGCGCCAGTCACATAGATGCCTATTTCCCACCCGTGCGGACTCTTTATGACTAGAAGAGAGGAGAGTTATTGTCAGGAGTGGGGTCCGGGGCAGAGATATTAAACCTCATGCTGCAGAGCTTAAACCAATCTCTCAGTGATGAGGATGAGAACTAACGTGTGGCAGAGTATCCTGCATCCGCCTGCCGCAGGGTTTCTTACACCTTCCTCTGTAACATCTGGTGCTGGCCACAGTCAGAGACAGGATACTGGACCAGAAGGACCTTGGGTCTGATCCAGTCTGGCAATTCCTGGACAAGATATCTAGTGACAGCATTTCACTTCAGAGCAATAGTGCCAGGCTTTTAATGGGGAATGCTGCTAAGTAAACTCATAAAGAGGATTAGGTATCATCATTAAGTGAATCACAAGGGTATCTGAAGTTACACTAGCCAAGGGCTCTCAATCCTCATGCTTCAGAGCACAGACTGATCACCAGCCAGGGCCAGGAAGGAATGTCCATCCCTGAATTACGGGGAAAAAGGGGGACTGAGCTCAATCTTCTTCTGAAGCATGTGGCATTGGCCACTGTCAGAAACAGGACACCAGACCAGATGGATCATTCATCTGTTCCTGTAAAATGGCAGCTCCTATGTAATTGTTTCCCACCAAAGAGCTGTGATGCAAATCGCAATCATCGTTTCACTCACTTATGAATGAATTTGTGCGTGGTCGCTTTCATATATTTCAGCCCCCACGCCTATACACAAAGTAAGCCAGATCCTCAGCTAATATAAAGTGTCAGAGCTCCATCAAAGTCAATGGAACTCTGACAATTTACCTCAATAGATGATTTTATACATATATAAAGTGTACAGAACATACTCTCTGGGTGTATGAAATACATTGTCCTTTCTACAAGGCCAGTTCCCAATGGGTTAGTGATGCCAAATGAATTTGGGAGAAAGCTTCCTATGCCTATCTGGCTATACAGAGAAAAATCTGCATTCTTCACTGTCAACCTAAGAGAATGCAGGAGTTTGCAGGTACATTTCACAATTGTTGCTGCATTGTGCCAGCATCCATCACATAAAATGATTAAATCTACCTCCATCATTCAACATGCAACAAGAAATTAAATCCTTGTCACGCAATGCCACCATGAGATCTGTGCCTCCAGCAGTGAAAGTAGAAGGCTGGCCTTTTCTCTAATAGCAGACCCTTTTCTTACGACAACATTCTGGTCCATTGGCATCATACTTGAACAGTCTAAAAAATATACAACCAAGACTTTTTGTGAATATCATATTTGAGCAGAACCTACATCCACGCCCTGTCTCTGACAATGGTCAGTGAGGGATGTGTCAGAGGAAGCCATAATACTTATAAAATAGATCTAATTGTGATAGAGTGGGGAGAGAAGGGGAGTTTTTCCTGATCATGGCTGGTGATCAGCTTGGGCTGTGAAGCATGAGGTATGCTGTGGTCACTCCTCTTCACACTGACCAGTACTGTCTCATCATTATCTTGTACTTCCCTTTGTCTCTTCATTTGTACTTAGATTGTAAACTCTTTGGGACAGCCCAGGGACCATCTTTTTGTTCTGCTTGTACAGTCCCAAGCTCAATGAGACCCTGATTCCGGTCTGGGGTGCCTAGATTCTACTGCAATACAAAAATAGATGGATTGATAGATGGATTAGATGAAGATGGTGTGCCCTTTTGATTTTTATCCTAGTGGGTGTATCATGATTCATTATTTCTTGTGTAGCACTTGGGAACCCTAATCATGGACCAAGATGCCATTGTGATAGGTGCTGTACAAACACAGAACAAAGACAGGCCATGCCCCAATTACAATCTAAGAAGTATTGCAAGTTTTATTCTGTATATGGCCCCCATACTTAGAGCACTTCAAAATATCAATGAATTATTCTCAACACCCCTTAATTCTCCAATTCCTGGCTTACTACACAGTGGAGGGTTTATTAAAACTAACATTCCAAACCACTGGTACGCACCGACTTCACTTTAATGTTTTTTGGGGGGGGAAATAATCCCATTTTGCAAAGGATTCCAATTTAGTAGCCTCAGTAATGCCCTGCAAAAGTGAGTTCTACAGGTGTATACGTTGTGCTCAGAGTACTTCCACGCGGAGCTCTCAGAACTGGTCACTGTACCAGTCCCATCGGACACCCAGAAAGGCAGCTGTTCTCTGTTCTCCAGCTGGGAGAATTACAGCTCAAATCAATCCCAAACAATGTTCCCTAGTGCTTGTTTAGAGGTACTCACCACTGATGCGGTATTCAGCTATATTACTGTCCATGTCCAGCTCTATTACTCTCAGCTAGAGAGACTGCCTGAAATGTACAAACAAAAGTAATCAGGAGAGGAGAAGCACACAGAGAAGAGAGAGGTATTTGATCTCTCACACAAGAGCATTTCCAATCAGTCAGTCACTGGATTTAAATTCTGCCCCGTGACAGATGACCAGATGATCACAGTGAAAAACCAGGGCTTCTGCCACAGGGCATGCACAGGGAAGGGTCTTGGTGAGCATCAGGGAGATGTGCTTGGAAGGTTTAGCAAAAAAAGGCTGTCCATTTCTCCCTCTCCTCAGCCACATAGACTCTCCCTGGCCTGCTGCGCTGCATGTGAGGTGCTGGTTCAAAGACTGTGTGGAGGAGGGGGAAGGAGGGAGACACTGGAATCCTACCTGAGAAGAAAGGCAGAGTGTCAGCCCCTGACAGATCTGGTGGCGGAGGTATCTGCCCCAGCCTATTGTCAGTTTCACAGCTCAGCTGGCTGGCACTTTCTTCAGATGTCCAGCACGCAAGGGGCTTTACCAGAAACAGGGCCGATCCCTGCAACACCAGGATTGGCTTCCTGATTTCAGGGGCACATGGCATTCTATATGTGACCAATGTAGGGATGGGCTCAAACCAAACCCTGGAGTCAGACACCCCAAAACTTTCTGGGTGGTTGGAATCCAAACCCAGACCTCAATCTGAACACTGGACTAAATCAAAACTTTGTGTATGAAATCTACATGTTAGGGAGCTCCAGACCTCGATTTCTCTTTAATTCAGGAAGGGGGAGATAGAGCACTAGCATTAGCAGAGAGAGGGTCTGGGCACTGCGGCTCCTTACTCAGAGTCTGCTCAGTTGCAGCTGTGGCTGTTGCTGGACTACAAGGCCTGGGTTTGACTTTCTGTCTTGCGGCCCAGAGAGGGACTGGATGCTGTTCTGGACCATCTGGAGAGAGCTGGTTTGCACTTGACATTATAAGTGATGCACAATAGATACGTGGGAATATGCCTGTGACTATTTATAGACCTCACCCACTTCCATGCCCCTCCCCACTCCTGCAAAAAAAAGGTTTTTTTCCAATGAAACTCCCCCCCCCCCCCCCCCCCAACTATAACAAAATGTAATTTTGGTCGACATTTTTTTCTTTTCAATTAAAATAGTTGTAAGCTTTTGTTTTGGTGGGGAGAAAAAAATCCCACTTTGACTCCTCTCCTTCCCTTCCCTTCCCCCCCCCCAACAATAATTTCCCCCTTTTCACCACTGGGGGGGTGGCGGCGGGAAGCATGGGGAGGACAGGAAAATAAAGGAATAAACCGAGAAGCTGGGTTTCCCCTCCCACAAAAAATATTATTAAACAATTTAAATGAAATAAAAAAATGGTTTCTTTCATTATTTTCCTATGAAATATACTCACCTTTTTTCAACCACCTCTGATGATTTATATAGGGCTAGTACCATCCAGAGCCCCTCACAGCTCATATTTTACCCCTATTACTTCTCCACTTGTATGCACGCAACTCCAGACAGCCCCACAGATCTTGGGAATAACAGGCCTTCTTAGACCACCAGGCTATATTCCCCTCCTCCAGCTGACCCTCACTGGGGTCTGCACACAGTGCTACACAGTGCTATTTGCCGCAGCCCTTTGTAAGGGACAAAGGGTAGGCACCACCCCAGGGGAGCACCAGGGGCATCTGGCCATAAAGAGAGACACTTCCTCCCGAGGCTCCCCTGTTTCACTAGGAAGAGTCATTTGGGTCACTCCTTTATGGGGTGCAGCATTACCCCTCCCTCCATGCCCAGTCAACTCCACTGGCTAATGCATAGTGGGGGCAGAGTCTCTGCCTAGTACATCTCCCCCCACCCATCTGGCACGCAGTCCCTGCATTGCTCCAAGCACCTGGAGCTAGTGTTGTGAGGATAAATACCTTAAAGGTACGACATTTCTCGGGTACTATCATAACAGGAGCCATCTAAATACCCAAGGTAGCTAGGATTGGGTTGGAAACTTCATGAGCACATGGCTTCCAACCCTTAGCATGGGTTTTAGTCTGGTGGGAAATTCCATAATAGTGTACCAGGGGGCATTCCAGACCTTCCCCTCCTGCAGCGCTGCACGGCATGCAGGTGGTCTCCTAGGGAATGTCTTGATCAAAACCTGTCTCGTGTCTTGGTCAAAGTCCAACAATAGAGTTCATTGATTGCTCAGTACCTTGCTAAACTACTGCGCTATAAACTGCCAACCAGACTCTGATTTACCAGTCATTGCTGAGGTCTCCTTTCTGTGAGGAAGAAAAATTACGGCCCACTTCCAGCTGATGGATGTTTCGGCAGGATTTGGCCCATTTCTCTAGGCCTTGGCCTCCATATGTCCTTAGAGCTCTGCTGCCTTTCACAGGGGATCTCCACGCTCCATCATCTTCCCCGCTTTCCCCAGCTCTCTGGCTGACGGAAAGGTGATGGGTACTTTCTGTTTGCTGGTGCTAGGCATGCTTGTCATGGTTCTCTGCCCGTCGGGAGGCCTTAAATTTAGATCACTCTTCCACAAACAGTCAGGAAGGAGGGACTTGTGCTTAAGTCACTGGACTGTAACGTGGGGATAATAATACTTCCTTTGCCTGTGTCTATTCAGATTGTAAGCTCTTCGGAGCAGGGGCTGTCTCTTCCTAACTGCATGTACCACACCCAACACAGTGAGGCTTTGCTCTCTGGAGCTGTTTTCACCATGTGAAGAAAGAGCAATTGTTTGGACTTCTTGAACCCAGCTCGTGAAGTGAGTCCTACCCCCTAGTCCTTTTAAATCTCTCTTTGGATGGACTCCTCCAGGTCAGAGCCCACTGGGGGCTTATTTCCCCAGCCTTTTCACCCCACCCCCACCCCTTTTTCACTCTGTTTTTAATCGTACATGGCTGTTGCACTGTTCAGCTTCCTCTCTCACTGCATCTCATATTTCACCATTGTTTGGCTCCTTGCTAAGTCTAGATGGCTCTGTTTTGGAGAATAGACAGCTTGCCAATTCAATAGGGGGATCAGCGTTTTTCCTAAATCACTCCAACGTATCGATTCTGCCATACCCAGTCAATAGATTCTTGCAGCAGGGGCTGTTTATTACCTCTGTGGCCTGGAGGAATTTTCCCACATGGTGCCTGGCTAATTTGCTGGGCGCACTCTAAATTCATGGACTCTGCTACATTTAGCTATGCAAGTGCCCTTGCCAATACACTCACAGTACAAGACCTATTGCAGATTATTAGAAGATGCCAATAGACAAAGCCCCAAACTTTTTAGTTTATATGCAGGGAGAACATTCCCTTAAAACCTCTGCTTAAGAATTCTGACTCCACGACCCTCCTCAGGGCAGGCTCTGGGCTCCCAAGAAGCTAAACTAGCAGGGGTGGATTTGGCCTGGTATGTTTACTCTGCCATTGCACAATGCCATTCTGCTTAGCAGAGTAAAGTCCCTCTTGCATTGGGGTTGTTAGTTAATCGTTATTTTACATGAGTGCTTGATTGCTCAAGTAGATTCTTTTCATTGCCAGTGTTCAGCTACGGTGCTCAGGAAAGGCTTGTGGCTTCCAGCACTGGTGTTCCGTTGTGTTATTCGTCTCACTGTGTCAGAAAAGATTAAACTAGACAATGAGGAAAATTCACAGAATGATTAGCCTGTCAGACACTATCCACATCCCAGAATGCTTTGCGTAGTCATCCTTCTACAGCTGGGCCGGGCCCGGGGCCTTCACGGAGTCACATACGCACATTAAACTCTTCCAAGCACAGAGATGTCAGTGCTAGGAAGCACCGCTAGAATATCAAGTGGATGGAATTAAATCTCCAGTTGCACCAGGGTTAAAGTAAAAACTTGTCTGGCATCCCCAGAGGACCGTGTCTATAGGTGGGCTGTAAACTGCAAAGCTACTCTGAAGAATAAGCAGCTCTCGAAGGAAAAACATACATGAAGAGCTGGAAAAAAACTGCTGTCACTTGAGCTGCACTCATTCAGAAGAAAAAAAATCTCCCTGCTACCAATGCCAAGTCATAATGCTACGCACCTTGGATCCATGGGATAAGCAGCAGTCAAACTTTGCCCTCACATAGCACTTGACACACAGTACAATGTGTCCGTGTAGTAACTAAGACTGATACCGACTCCTTCTGGGGGCGTGAGCAAATTACTCTGCCTCAGTTTTCCCATCTGTAAAATGGAGATTTAGCAAAGTATTGTAATCCCCATTTTATGAAGGGTAAATCTGCAGCAGGGAGATGGGTAACTGATTTGCTCAAAGTCAGAGAGAGAGTGGAATTCAGGAGTTCGTGGCTTCCAGTGCTGTGCTCAGACCAAGAAAGATCACGTCTGTCTCAAAATCAAGGCTTTTGGGTCTGGACTGTCCTCACGTTACGGTAACGGCAGTCATGCTGCAGTGAGTACAACCCTTGCTGCTGCTGGGGCTGCTGTCGGGAAGCCTCTCCCTAGGCTGCCTGTGTAATGCCGACAAACCGCGGTTGTCGGTGGGTGGGATTGAACCGGGGACTTCTGAAGCTTAGTGCATGAGCCTCTATTGCATGAGCTAAAAGCCAACTGGCTGTTAGCTAAGACTGTAGAGCAAACTCATTAATCTCTGTCTCTTCTAAGTGGTCTCGGTGACACTAGATGGGACAGAACACCATACCCATGAGGTGTGTGGGTTACACCTGCAAACCCAATCGGAAAGACAGAAATTCAATAAAACCGCATGGAATGAGATACTGAAAAATAAAACATGCTAGCAGGATAAACACCAGGCTCCTCTTTCTAATTGACATTTCAGTTTGGCAATCAGTTCCAACTCACCGAGTGGCACCTACGACGGCAAGCTGCCAAGGTAAGAGATTCCCTTCGGTAAAACTCAAGATGAGGCAGGGTCTTTTCCACCCCTATCCTATAACCTTGGCTGGTTGTTAAAAGGCTTACATTGCAACTGAATCACAAGTGCTAAAGAGCAATGGGAGTGAGGCAAGTCTGGCTGTCCTACACCTGAATGTGAAAGACTGGTAGCACTGTTCCAGCCCCCCA